GGGGGGGGGGGGGACTTCCTCCCCTGCCCCCAGCATGGCCTCTTTCTGTGTAATTGCATTTGAATGGTGTGGGGAGAGGTGAGCTGTATGAGGCCCTGGTCTCATCTTACAAAGGGGGGGATGGACACCAACAAAAGGGAGGAAGGGGGCAGTGGCAGGCAGGCGGGGCCCGGGGAGGCCGAAGCGGGGCCCGGGCTGCTGCGGGGGATCTGACTTGTCTTTCCCTGGCTTTTGGCTTCAGCCCCCAAGGCGGCTTGGGGGTCTGGGCTGCTTTCGTTCGATGCTCAGTCGAGCTGAACCCCGTGGTGGGAGCTTCCAGCTCTGTGGAGTTCCTGGGCCTGGAGGAGGAGCAGCCACACCGACCAGCGCCTCCCAGTTTGGACGTCCTGTCAAACTGGGTGGCTCGAAGGGCCGTTGGCCAGCCTCCTTCAGACCACGGCTTGCTAACTCTTGGTTGGAAGCATTTGAAAACCAAGCTTTGCGGTCATCACCAGAAGCCATAATCTTGCCTCTCTGGGTGCGTAAGGTATCACATGTGAGGGCAGCCAAAGTGACTCCATACTGTTTTGGTTTTATTTATATTATTTATTTTCTATAGATGTTTGTATGCCACCCATTTCACAAGAACCACAACACATCGCCATCAGTAGAACAATCCCCAAATGTAAGTGATCCAGAAGCCAATCAAAGTGCTGTTGTAAAATCAACTCTCACAAGAAAAAAAGATCCATCCCTTGCAGGAAAGTGCTCACCAGATCAGGGTGGTCTCTGGAAAGGGGGGGGGATTTGTTCTGTAGCCCCCTTCCCAGAAAGAATTTGTTTCTTCCGTGCACATTTTTAATCCATTTCTCGCTGCGGGGCTGAAAGCCACCCTTTCTGTGGGGAGTGTTTGTCCCAGGGAAGATGGGGGCATTTTTAGCAACCATTTGGAGGGTCTTGTGAAGGTGTTTCTTGGGGGTAGCAGGGGGTTTCCTTCTACTTTCCTGTAACAAGAGAAGCCTCTTCAGATGGGGCGGACCAGCAGTTGGCCATCACGTAGGGAGCTATTGGCTGTCAGGAAACAGGGACATCAGTGTAGCCGAGGCAGGCTGCGCGGGGATTGAATAAAGCCTTAAATGAGAAAGCCCCCGGTGGAGGGATGGGCTGTGGGTGCAGCTCTGACAGCGCCCCCCCTCCCCCGTTGTTCCAGCCACAGGAAGGAAGAAATCTGCCCCCGGGCTCCCTGTCTGGCAGGAGAATCTCCCCAGGCCCTCCCCACGCAGGCCAGAAGTAGGACCAACGGGAGATCTTGAGGACATCTCCCTGGATGCCCGGGGCCCGTTCCATCCTTGCAACAACCCTGGGAGGTGGGTTGGGGGAGAGAGTGGCTGGCCCCTCCCAAAACGCTGGTGGTGCCCCTGGACCGTAAGCAGGGCCGCTCCTGTCCCATCAGTGGATGCCAGCTGGAGGCTTTCTGCATCCTACTGCTTGGCACCACATTGGCACAAGAAGTTCTGCAGGGCAGGCCACAGCACATAAATAGAGAGCAAACCCCATCCCATTTTAGCACTGAAGATGTTACCCGGCCGGGTAATGAAACGTTTGCAAGAAAAGAACCAAGCTCAGAGAACCCCATGGACTCCAAAGAAGTTCTTCCTCAAAGCAAAGGAAAATGGAGGCATTTTGAACTGGCATAGAAGCCCAGGAGTGTGCCCCCCAGCAGCTCCAGAAAGAGAAGCAGTGCTTTTTACTGCCGGTGGGGTGGCCCCCTTCCTGGGAAAGGACAAAGCCAGGCAGGGGGGCGAGAAGCCAGACCTTTCCTGGGCCAGATTCCGTCCTCCTCTGCTTGTGCAAGGAGGCAGGAAGCTTGTGGATCCCCTCCAGGGATTGGTCCCCGCGGTGGGGAGAGGGGAGGCACAGCCAACTTTTCACAGGACGCTGCCGGAAAGGAGTAATTGGCGCGCCCTTTGTCTCCCCACAGAGGAAACAGTGGCCAGCTGAGGTGTGTGGCTCCTCCTCGCAGTAAATTCAAGCAGTTTCCAGAATGGCTGCAAATCGCAACAATGAATAATTTTGTTGGGATCAGTAGAACCCACTGCTGGAAGGAAGTAACTTGTACAGTGAGAGGGGCAGCATGTATACATTTGAAAACTAAATAAATAAATAAGGGCTCGAAGTGGCCAGCAGAGTTCCCCCTCCCTCGGTTTGCGCAGCTGGGCCCTCTTGCCGGACGTGGTCAGATGAATCCTGTTTGCGCTCAGCCTTCGCTCCTAATCGGCCTCTAGTGCCTTTACACCCCTGAGCTTCTGAGGGTCGGGTTTCTCTCTGCTGGGCTGTTCCCACCCTTCCCCCTCGCCAGCTCCTCCGGACGGAACAGGCTTGGGGAGTCCCAGATCCTGGGTCAAAGGCCACGACCCAGATGTCAGAGCAGCCTGGCTGCTGGCTTCTTCTTCAGTGATTATCTGGAGTTTATTGTGCAGAAGAGGGGAGGGGATTGTCTTGGGGGCTCCAGCCAGACTCTGGCCATCTCAACAATGGCTGGAGGACTCAACTTTCACAGAAACACCAAAGTCTACATTGGACATTTGGTGGAGAGCCCTGCCCCCCCCCTTCCCTTAAAGGCCAACAGCTCAGCAGCTCTTAGAACAGTCTTCAGAATCCCAGCGAGTTCACTTGCAATTTTCCTTTGCTAAACTTCTTAGTTCAGCCTGAAAATGAATGGCTGTTGCCAGCCAGCCTCCCTGTAAGAAGGGTTGCTCCTGGATGTTGATTCTTACAACTGAAAGCATCCACGGGCAATGGGAGATCCGTGTTATATCTCACATTAAGCGTTGACAAGTTTTGATCTGGAGATCACGCATCCAGCCTCTTTGCAAACTGATACAGATTAATGCCCCAACGTGCATACCTTCGAAATGGATCTTCCAAGATTTTTTAAAAAGGCCTAATGAATAAAATGTTGCCTCTTGCCCACCCCCTGTAGAAGGAGACAGAGATGACAAAAGAGCATGAAACAATGAATGAAATCTCAGCCCTGGGAAAGTGGGAAGCATGTGAGAGACCCCACTTGACTCTGCGTGGAGGGAACTCTAGTGGGCTTCCAAAAATCTTGTTATATGGCACAGCAGTGGAGTTGCATACTCATTGCGTCATCTGATTCCTGACTGGCCTGCCTCAGAGGGCTGACACCCTCCCCCCGCCACCTTTGCTTCCCCAAACCTTTATCAGCTAGGAATGAGAAGGTGCCAAGGAGAGGGTTAGGGCTAGGCTGCTTGTGGTCCTGACCTCGGATTCCTCCTTTGTTTTATCTAGTCCTGACGTGTTGCCTCGTTCCGGCCCCCTTTGGAGGCTCACAAAACAGAGCAGCCGACAGACGGGGGGGGGGGGTTTCTGGGGGGGTAATGCCACCCTTCGGGGGGAAAAATGGAAA